AGTTCAGGATGACGCAGTTAACACAGCATCATGGAGTGTGAGGTTGGGAAGGGTCCGTGCCTGCAGGTGATGACTGCTGCGTGTCATGCACTCACCGTGGCCATGTGTTCACTGTGGCCATGCATTCACCATGCATTCACCATGCATTCACCATGACCATGCACTCACCATGACCATGCATTCACTGTGGCCATGAGCTCACCGTGACCATGCACTCACCGTGGCCATGTGGTCACTGTGGCCATGCATTCACCATGCATTCACCGTGGCCATGCACTCACTGTGGCCATGAGCTCACTGTGACCATGCACTCACCGTGGCCATGTGGTCACTGTGGCCATGCATTCACCATGCATTCACCGTGGCCATGCACTCACTGTGGCCATGAGCTCACCGTGACCATGCACTCACCGTGGCCATGTGGTCACTGTGGCCATGCATTCACCATGCATTCACCGTGACCATGCACTCACCGTGGCCATGCCCTCACTGTGGCCATGCGTTCACCGTGGCCATGCATTCACCATGCATTCACCATGGCCATGCACTCACTGTGGCCATGAGCTCACCGTGACCATGCACTCACCGTGGCCATGCACTCACTGTGGCCATGAGCTCACCGTGACCATGCACTCACCGTGGCCATGCGTTCACTGTGGCCATGCATTCACCGTGGCCATGCACTCACCATGACCATGCACTCACCGTGGCCATGCACTCACCGAGGCCATGCATTCACCGTGGCCATGCGCTCACTGTGGCCATGCGCTCACTGTCGCCATGAGCTCACCGTGACCATGCACTCACGTGGCCATGCACTCACTGTGGCCATGCGTTCACTGTGGCCATGCATTCACCGTGGCCATGCACTCACCATGACCATGCACTCACCGTGGCCATGCACTCACCGAGGCCATGCATTCACCGTGGCCATGCGCTCACCATGACCTTGAGCTCACCATGGCCATGCACTCACCGTGGCCATGCGCTCACCGTGGCCATGCGTTCACCGTGACCTTGAGCTCACCGTGACCATGCGTTCACCGTGGCCATGCGCTCACCGTGGCCATGCGCTCACCGTGGCCATGCGTTCACCGTGACCTTGAGCTCACCGTGGCCATGCATTCACCGTTGCCATGTGCTCACTGTGGCCATGCGCTCACCGTGGCCATGCGCTCACTGTGGCCATGCACTCACTGTGGCCATGCTCTCACCGTGGCCATGCGCTCACCGTGGCCTTGAGCTCACCATAGCCATGCGCTCACTGTGGCCATGCGCTCACTGTGGCCATGTGCTCACTGTGCAATCCTTCTGCAATGGGTCACATCAGCACGTTGTACACTTCAAATATATGCTGTGTTATTTGTCAATTATGCCTCGGTAAAGCTAAAACATTTTAACTTAATTTAAAAAACTGAGTTCCTGTATTTATTAGCAGCTCTCAAAGAGCATTAAAGGGAATCCATTTCATAGCCACAGACCTTCTAAATCATTCCCCTCTCCCTCCTTCCCCATCCCTTTTCCTCCTGAAGGCCCCAGACCCTTCTGCTCTCTGAACTCGCTCTCAACTCTGTCCCTGGCCACCCTGGAACTTCCCACACAGGGGTGTCTTCCTCCTTCCTGCCTGACACCTCACACCTGAGCCTGGAGTGGCCTCAAATTCCTGTGCCAGACCCCCCACCAAGACGGCTGGAAGACCCCAAACCTCTATGATCCCTCTTGGGGTCTCACTCCACTGGAATGAAGCTTGGAGCTCCCTGGAAACTGTATTTTTTGGTCATCTCATGAGAAGCCCCCTTGGTGAATTTCTAGTAAATAATATCCTTCACCGCATTACAAATGTGTTGTCTGCAGCGTTCCCTTGTGACAGTGGACCCCACCCTGTCCTGTGGTGCCTGAATGGCCTCATGCATAAGCCGTATCTTCCCAAACACACTGTGAGCTCCTGAGAGGAGTGGGATGAATCTTGCTTCCTGGGAGGCCTGTCACAGCCCCACACCACACATCCGAGGGTGCGGAAGAGACCGACGGAGCTGTGTAGAAGGAAGCGGTGCTCGCCGGAGCCGGGAGGGACGCACACCGCATCTTTACCACACCATGCAACCCTACAACATTGCACTTTAAATCACATCATGGCAAGACATGAGTTATTTCCAGATCACAAAAGAATACCAGTGCAATTTAACAGTAACCAGAATAGCCCATGAGACTTCTTTTACCACCAAATCCTCAGACTGTCATTATGAGACACAGTACAATTCAGCGTGAATTCAGACATCGGTGAAAATGCTTCACGGGAGTGTGAGTTAGACTGAGATTCTGTGTGTAGGGTGCACAATATGTGTGTTACACATGCAGCTGGAGCCCAGGATTTTAAAATAGCAGCGTGAACATCTGGTGTGGGAATTGTGGCTTCTCATGGATGAGCAGGCTTTGAATGCCACACTCTGTTAGGTGGGGGAACCAGAGGTCCCGCAAATCTGGGGTTTTTCCAAGGTTCCCATCGCATGACATGTCACAGACACATCAGCTGATACCTATTGAACAATTAGGAACATTTATAACTGCTAAGCTCCTCGAGTCAGGCGTTTCCCCATGATTACTATTTTAAAGTATGATCTTTTCAACATTATTTTAAGGAGGCTGACATTATGCAATGAAATATAACTGTAATACTGTTATTTTGTGGAAAAGTTTTTAAAATGCTATGAAGGGAAAACATTCCAATTTGGTGTAAGATTGCAGCCGATTCTGATAACAGTGTCTATCCTATGTTCCAAAGGCAAACCAGCGCATCTCAGTCTGAGTTTCTTGCAGCCTGTGAGATATGACAAGGTTTCTCTCCAAACAATAGCCTGCTCATCGTTTTATTCTTTCATTCCAAGTCCCCTACTTCTCTTTCTTCTCCTTTTCTTCTTTTTGATTTTACGACATGCCCAGACATGTTACAGCACCAGCTCACATTCCTTTTCTTATTTGGGAAAGGACTGGCTCCCTGGTTCACTGCAGATGAACTAGATGCACCCCTCCCTCCTTCCCCTCTCTCCTATCACACGTCTACCTTATCTAAGAGAGTTGAAATGTTTAGCCAATCAGGTCTAGTTTAAATTGTGCGGTCAACCCCAGGGAAAGGACACAGAGGCAGGAGTCATGTGCACTTCATGACTAAAACACCAAAGGCATTGGAAACAAAAGCCAAGACAGACAAATGGGATCTAATTAAAATTCAGAGCTTCTGTACAGCAAAAGAAACCATCATTAGAGAGAACCGGCAACCAACAGAATGGGGAAAAATTTTTGCAGTCTACCCATCTGACAAAGGGCTAGTATCCAGAATCTGCAAAGCACTAAAACAGATTTACAAGAAAAAAACAAACAACCCCATTCAAAAGTGGGCCAAGGACACGAACAGGCACTTTTCAAAAGAAAACATATATGAGGCCAAGAAACATATGAAAAAATGTTCATCATCACTGGTCATTAGAGAAATGCAAATCAAAACCACATTGAGATACCATCTCACACCAGTCAGAATGGCGATCATTAAAAAATCTGGAGACAACAGATGCTGGAAAGGATGTGGAGAAATAGGAACACTTTTACACTGCTGGTGGGAGTGTAAATTAGTTCAACCATTGTGGAAGACAGTGTGGCAATTTCTCAAGGATCTAAAGATAGAAATTCCATTTGACCCAGCAATCCCATTACCATAGCAAAGACCTGGAACCAACCCAAATGCCCATCATTGATAGACTGGACAAAGAAAATATGGTACATATACACCATGGAATACTATGCAGCCATAAAAATGGTGACTTTGTGTCTATTGTAGGGACTTGGATGAATATGGAAGCATCATTCTCAGCAAACTGACGCAAGAACAGAAAACCAAATACCACATGTCGTCACTCATAGGTGGGTGTTGAACAATGAGAACACATGGACTCAGGGAGAGGAGCATCACACACTGGGGACAGTTGGGTAGGGGAGGGACATTGGGGGTGGGGAGGGAGGGGAAGGTGGGGAGGGATAACATGAGGAGAAATGCTGGATATAGTAATACACCTGAAGTAAAGTTAAATTAAATTTAATTTAATTTAAAAAAACAAAAAATTAGTAAGACACAGTAGATGCTCATACAGGTTCAAATCATTAATAAGCGGATCACAAGCTCCCTAAAAAAAATCTTCTACTCTCCTTTGCTCGGGGTGCTCTGGTGGTATCAGCCCTATGAGAGGCATCCTTCTGAGCAGAAGTAAATCTGTTTGCTGAGAAATCCTTTGAGTGCTTGTGTTTCCCTACCGCTCCGGGCTTTATTTCTAACAAGGCCTATAAGCAAGAATATCAACACAATTTCGTAAAAAGTGAATCCCCCCAGGAGGCACCAGCATCCCACTCAGTAAACACCAAGAGAAGACGTGCTGGCTTCATTCATGCTGGGATTGGCTGTGCATGACAAGTAGCCTGAGAGAAGTCAGGGCAAGTGAGAGACAAGGATTCGTCCTGGTCTCTGTGTGCACAGTGAAGAGCGTCTCCCTGAAAGTGCTGACGCTTCGTGCTCTTTAGTTCAGATCCCCACGCACCTGGGGAAGGAGCTGGTGAGTTCCTTCAGGGGGATAGTGATGGGCCTCATGATTCAGAGCACTGACAATCAATGTTTAACAGAATAGGTCCAAGGACTAAGCATCAGGACAAACCAGACATCTTCAGAGTCCACAGTCCCCTGTTAGATAGAACTGTCCAGCCAGTTCTGAGTTCATGTGTGTGAATTAATTCTGACCTGCATTTCTCCATCTTGTCCTCAGGGAGACTGAGGACCTCTGGGAATTAAGATGCAGTGCGGCTCCCACACCTCCTAAGCCTGTTCCCACAGGCAATGAGGTCACCTTGGCGTGGCTTTTTAAGTGAGCCAATGCCTATTCCTTTCTTTTCTAGAATTTTCCAATGCATCTTTTTACAGCTAAACTAAAATTGTCCATAGATAGACAGCGCGCACTCACCTGTGTTCTCCATGCAACCCTTATTCCCATCTCAAAGGCCAGGCCATCTGTCCATCTCTTTTCTTCTGCTGCCTTCCTTCTTTCCTCAAGATTCCACCAGGATGTCCTCCAAGGGCTTGGCCATCTCATTTCTGAGGTCCTTTAGATCTGGGTCTGACAGCTTATACTTCCTTACAGACAGCAGATGTCACGTATTATGTTCTATTTGAGATTTCAGTTCTCTCACGTTTGCTCTGTCCTTTCTGTTTGAAGATCATTTTTACATAAAGAAGATGGAAAAGAAAGTAGAAATGGAGTCATTCCGGTTTCTTATCCATCTGTTAACATGATGCCATCTGCCCCTTGCTTCTTGCATTAAACAAAACAAAGCAACACAGAGTCTCAACGATTCTAGAAGAAAGCGCCATGGCCCTAGAAGCGGATTAGAATGCAGCCAAGGGCTTTACACATTCCTAAAGGCAGAAGATAGGCTAGGGTGCTGGCCTGGACTCCCTGCAGACCCCAGACACAATGGGGAGTCTGTCTCACTCGCCGGCTCTCTTCGCATGTCTCCACCAGCTGCTGTGTTCTCACTAGGGGGGAATGAAAGAGCAGGAGACCCAGGAAAGACCCTGGAGGACACGGCAGGACCCAGCCCAACTCCTTCACCTTCTGCAACATAAAACAGGTGCGGCAAGCTGCTGAGAGGGCAGGAAACCCTCCTCAGCCCCCGATCCCAAGCAGAGATCTGTGCATCCAAGTGAGGGGAAAGGCACCCACCCTCTGCCTCTGAGCAATCAGTGCAAAAGCTCTGGATGGGGCGACTGATGAGCTCCCAAGTTACATAAAATGGAATTATAAAAATATGCTTGATAAATACAAAAGAAAGCAAAAAAAGAGAAAAAACCCGATAAGGACAAACAGTACACTGCCATGTCAATAATCACATCAAACATAAATGGTCTAAACGTTCCAATTAAAAGGCCGAGATTAGTAACACAGGACCCACTCAGATGCCACCTGTCGGAAACCTACTTTAGAAGACAGTTGGGCAGTGCCCTGGACAGTTAGATGCCATCTCTACATAGAACATAGCATTCCGGTCTAGGTATTTACCCAGGAGGAATGAACACGTATGTTCATGCAAGTCCTGTATGTGAACATCTAAAAGCAGATTTATTCACGATAAGGACAAACACTGAAAACGCTGCAAATGCTCATACACTGGGAGTGAAAACACAAACAGCAGTGTCTCTGCTGTGGAGTACTACTCTGTAGTGAAAAGGAACAGCTACTCACGCACACAGCAACATGGGAGCTCCAGCGTCAGCGTGCCGTGCAAAAGACGCCAGACACAAAGGAATACCTTACACGATTCTGTGTACGTGCCCTTGTGAAAAAGACAAAACCATAGAGGCAGAAATCAGGTTAGTGTTTGCCAGGGGCTGGGCCAGAGGGATGTTGATCCAGTGCAAACGGCATAAGGAGACTTCGCAAAGGGATGGGAACCTTCTATCCTGGTTACACGACTGCACGCTGAAACTAATCAGATTGTACACCAGAAAAGTGTGCGCCGTGCTGTCTGCAAACAGTGCCTCAGTGCATAAAAATACTTATGTCACTGTTTTCAAAACGTGATGGGATTTACTTTTTGCTGTCTGGCTGGTGTACATGAAACACTGTTAATTGATCGACAATGGGGTGGTCACGTGAGGGCACTGGTTCTCTTAGACGAGGACACTGGGCATGTTCTGCTTGTACCTTCCATGCTAGTTCATCTTTCGGCAGAGAGTTAGCGAGTGAGCTTTTGTCTGTGGCTTTTACTACTAAAAGGAAAACCAAGAGCTGGACTGGAGCACTCAGAATGTCTCCTTAGAAAGAAATCTGGGAACAAGAAACAGTCATGAATCATTTGGCCTGTTTTCACAGGCCATTGCCTTCAGTGGGAAGTCAAGCTTGAGGTTTCAAGATCAAAGTCCTTTTCATCCTGCTGGTCCACCTGGAAGCTGTGGTTGCTAAGAGAGACCCAGACCCAGGAATCTGGAGCCGCGGAAGAAAACTGTCCATCGCCTGAGCTGGTACCAAAAGCGCCCCGCACGCCCGGCCCCTCGGCTCCCACTCAAATGCATCCTTTTGCCCTCCACACGGTGACAAAGAAAACAGTGATTTAAAGAGATAACTAGAAGGACCTTTGAGGAATCAAGAAGCATCTGCCTTACACACGTGAGCTGCTTGAAAATCAAACCTCCGCCAGGGTTGCCTGTTCCTGGAGGAGAGACAATGTCGAAATGGCATCAGAGTTTCTGCCTCATGGATCAGTAGGGTCCCGCGAAGAAAGGCCAGTGCCTGCCACTTTCAGGTAAAAATGAAGGTGCTGCCGAAATACATGCTGGGGTTATAAAGGTAGTTTCTGGAGCAAGAAAACCTTTTCAAAGCACGTGATTTTCCTTATTTACCTCTTTAAACGGAAGGGTTTTCCTTTGATCTCTTGTGTGAGCCTTTTTCTGTGGCTCTCACCCTTTTCATGCAGTGCCTGTCAGCCCCACATCTGGTCTACCTCATTTCCCAATCTTATTTTCTAGGGTAAAAAAATATGAAGTCTCAGACCAAAGGAGAGCTAGATATCACTTCAGTCTTTATCTGAACTGAAAAAATCTATGATTTCAAAATCAACCCAATACTGGAGACCAAGCACTAATCATTAATTCTACCCAATTTTCTCCCCACTCCAAGGGAAAAAGGGAACACGAGACACGTAAACTGAATCTCTTCTAGGCCCCTCCGTGCATCCAGAACTAAGACCGCGGAGACAGCCAGCAGCTGGACCTCTTCATCCACAAGTGACTCCTCACAATAACTTGCTGCGAAGCCATTTCTGCACTGCCCAAAGCCGGGGAGCCATGGCAATGATCAGGGCTGCAGGTGCTCTGACGGTGGCCCATGTTAGACAGAGGCACTGCCACAGTCCCCTGGGAGCATCAGGAGGCAGGAGCAAGGAGAACAGCTGAGCCCAGAACCCACGTTCTGCAGGTGAAGTGACTCCACCCTACACAGAGGAGTGCAGCCTGCATGTCACGTGGGGGCTGTTTATCAGTGAAAAGTAGGTTTGCAACATGAGATGGTGAAGAAGGCCATTTCTTACCTGTGTGGCTGCAGGTAAGTTAGTGAATCTCTCTGAGCTCAGCTTTCTCATCTGGACAGTGAGTCTCATTCCGTGATTTCCAGGGCTTGCAAAGGTTCTCTAGAATGAGGCAGAGTGCCTGTAGGATGGGTAGAGTGCAGGGCACAACCCAGTCAATTCCTATTGCATGGGAGCCTGCCTTGGTGTAGCAGATGTAAGCACAGCTGTGGGGCTCGACAGACCTGGCCACAGACTCGCTCTGCCATTCATTACACATGTGCTCCTGGGTAAGCAAAGTAACTTTCTCGTGCCTCATTTTCTCCCTGCAGGAGAGAAGAACATTTGCACCTGCCATCGTGGGTTACTGGGAGGACTAAGTGATATGGGAGGGAGGCGGGAAGTGCTGGGTGGAGAAAAGTGGGTCTCTGGCTAGAGCTCCACCCTTGGGCCTGCATCCATAGACCTAGGTAAAGACAGGCACTCCTGTCTTCACTCCCAAATGTTGCATTTCCTGGCCCACCATGCCTCCATCCTGTGCCTATAAAAACCCCAAGACACAAGTGGCTGGATGTCGAGAGGAGAACATTAGCAGAAGAGCACAGAAGTGGCTGGAAGCCCAGAGAAGCACATCGTTGAGGAGCACATCTGTTGAGGAGCACATCTGTTGAGGAGCACATCATTGAGGAGCACATCATTGAGGAGCACATCGTTGAGGAGCACATCATTGAGGAGCACATTATTGAGGAGCACATCGTTGAGGAGCACATCATTGAGGAGCACATAGTTGAGGAGCACATTGTTGAGGAGCACATCTGTCGAGGAGCACATCAGTTGAGGAGCACATCGTTGAGGAGCACACGGACAGGCACTGGTAGACACTGGCACGCCAGCAGACTGTGGACCCATGCACCAACGTTGAGTTTGGCTGGAGTTGTGGGAGAAGAGGCATGCTCAATGGTCTGATTGTAGGGGAAAGTCTTCCCACGCCATCTCCTTCCTGGCTCCCCCATCTGCTAAGAGCTACCTCCTCTCAATAAAACCTTGAACTCATTCTCCAAGCCCAGGTGTGACCCGATTCTTCCCGTACACCAAGGCAAGAACCTGGGATGCAGAAAGCCTTGTGCCCTTGCAACAAGGTAGAGGGTCTAGCGGAGCTGGTGACACAAACTGCTTGTCAACTGCAAAACTGAAAGAGCCCACCCAGCAGCACACGCCCACTGGGTCTTGGGGAGCTGTAAACATTCACCCCTAGCTGCTGTCGGGGGTTCAGAGCCCCACAGCCTGCCCATCTGCATGCCCCCTAGAGGTCTAGGCAGCTGAGCACTGAAGAAGTGAGCCACTTCCGCATCACACGCCCTGCAAGGGGGACGAGGAAACCTTTCCCATTTTATACGAAGAACAATGAGAGCAAAGCTGTAGCATGACATCTACCAAAGAGCAGAGCTCAGTAAATACGTGCTGCGATTGTAGGATGGCCAGAAAGTCTTCTCCCCCAAAAACCCGCAATATTGTGTGACCAATATCATGTGTCAGGCCTAATCTATGAAGGAAGATGAGCGAATGTAGTCATCTGACTACTGAGCTATTCTCCACTCAAAGAGAGGTCATTTATTCAGTTAACCTTAAAGACAGAAAAAAATAATCAGAAAACTCTAAGTAGTGACTTAAAAAAACAATATTGTGGATCAAATAAGCTGAACATTCTACAGCTTTATGACTAGAATTGCTGAATGAAAGGCACTGATCGTCTTTTTGGATATACAGCATAGCTCACAAGCAAGCAAAATCCACAGACACCACAAGTAAAGGGGACCAAATGCCAGGGAGGGAGGCAATCTGAGCTGCAGCAGCCCCATAGGAGGGGCGGGAGCACCGGAAACTTGGACCCTAAGTATCCACGTGACATTAGGTCCCTAGGGGGTTGGAAATTAAATCTGCAACCCTAACATAGAGATGGGGCCCTCCTCAGTAGAAGAGCACACTAAGAAGAACCCCTTTGGCATATGGAGATCGCAAGCAAGATTATCCCACTTTCTGCAGCTCCAAACCTGGGGAAAAAAAGTGCTCTCTTAAAATTCATTACTGCAGGCCTAGTCTCATCTGGGATTGGGGTTCAGATTTTTATTACTTAATGTAATAAACAACCACCACACTTATTGATGGTAGGTTCCTTTTTACTGGAAAAAAATTAGCTAACAATGTTTTGAAAAAATGAAGGAATTAGAAAGTCCACGCTCCATAACACTCTTGAAATTATCAATTCAGGCAAGGATTATCAACTGTTGACACAATCATTAGGTTTATGGTTTAAGGAACAAGTACTCTGTGGTGTGCCAGAGTAACACAGCACACATTGCTCTCTAGTCAAATGAGAGATGGGGAGAGAGGTTAAGAAAACCAGACCCTGGCCAGGCATGTGGCTCATGCCTGTAATATCAGCACTTTGGGAGGCCAAGGAATGTGGATCACGAGGTCAGGAATTTGAGACCAGCCTGGCCAAAATGGTGAGACCTCGTCCCTATTAAAAATGCAAAAATTAGCTGGACACCGTGGCAGGTGCCTGTAATCCCAGCTACTCAGGAGGCTGAGGCAGGAGAATCGCTTGAACCTGGGAGGTGGAGGTTGCAGTGAGCTGATATCTGTACTCTAGCATGGGCAATAGAGCAAGACTCCATCTCAAAAAAAGAAAGAAAGGAAAGAAAACCAGACCTCAAACGTAGAAACAGCTGCATGTCCCTTCAAAGAAGAACGGAGCCCGTCTATCATGCCCACCGCAGGATTATTTATCTACTTCTCTAGGGCTGTACGTCTATGTTGACTCACAGTTTGCTATTGATTAAGATATTAACCACTCTGTAAGGGCAGGTGTTAAGCTGTGGAAACTGATTCCGTGCAAATGATTTTCCCATAACATGGAGCCCATGTCTGAGAGAGATGCAAGCGGTGTCACCTGGTAAGAAAGATAACCCCAAGTTTACAATTTCGTCATCGTATAAACATTAACCTGTCTCGTAGCTACCTTAGAAATCTTATCATAACATTTTTTCTTTCGGTGGCTATAAATACTTCTGTTTTTCCTGTAATTCTTTGAACCGAGATTGCCATGCTCCTTATTCCCCCAGTCAGGAATTAAGAAGTCTGTGTCATATATTCACTTCCTATTGGTATGAAACATATTTTGGCTTTGGAAAAATTATATTTGCCTAAGCATAACTTTACATTGGAAACACTAGACAACCGTCATCTTAATTCATGTTAAGTCGTTCTCTGCACGGCATAGTATGTGTCTCCTGATTTGATGTGCGTGAACCTCGTGTCACCCCAGATGTTTTCAAGCGAATGTGCTTGACTTGAATCTATGGAGATGTTAAAAGTGACTCCCAGCTTGAAGAAAACAATGGGGACTGTGACGGATTAATAAATATTTACGGATATAATAACCAGGTGCGGTTTGTGGTTCTGGATCGGGTCCTGGTGTAGACAAGCCAGCTGTAAATAACATTTCAGGAAAACTGGAACAATTTAAAATGGACAGTGTCTATGATAAAATAAACATGCAATTACATTAAAAGGTGGCGATGATGGAGAAACACTGGTGACAAAATATCGTTAAAGAGAATGTCAATTTAGTAAAAAAAAGAATGAATATTGGAAGTATGGATAGAGAAAGGAAGAGGGAGACCTAGAATATATACACTGTGGTGTCAACAACGGTGACGTCATCATTTTAATTTTCTTATTTTTTCTCTTGTTTTCTAATTTCTAAATACACATTTACTGTTTTGTAGTAATAAATGCTTTCAAAATAACAAATCAAAGCAAAGAAAAGGATGCTTTTTGAGCAGGTGAAATAGCTTTAAGCTGAAAACTTCATAAAAGTAGTCTAACGCTGTATTATAACTCCCAGTCTCGGGTGGAAAACAACTGCACATCCTCAGCAAATTGCAGCTTTTCTGCAGATGCATCTCACTAACAATGGATTCAGTTCGAAAGAATACAAACGTAAGAGTGAAAAAATGACGACCTTTCAAAAAATTTAAGAAAGCCATTCCAGCTGAAGAAGTTCCTGTAGCCGGGGAAGCCCTTCTTGGGAAACTGAGACTGCAAACAAATGGACCCCTCGCCCACACGCAGCCCAGGGGCCCTGCAGGTTCAGCCCCAGTGACCCTAATGAAACAGCGCTCGCAGGAAAGCAAGCCACACAGTGTTTCTGGTTTTCCAGTGCACTTAAAAGTTGTGTTTACACTGTCATGCAGTGAACGAGGGTGCAAAAAACAACGTACCTACCTTAATTTAAAAATGCCTGATTGCTAAAAAAGCTACCGATCATCTGAGCCTGCGGAGAGCTGTAACCTTTCTGCTAGTAAAGGGTCTTGGTGGGTGTTGCTGCCTGCTGACTGATCTCGTGGTGGTTGCTGAAGGTTGGGTGGCTGTGGCCATTTCTTCAGGTAAGGTAGCAACGAAGTTTTCTGCACCAATGGAATCTTCCTTTCAGGAAGGACTTCTCTGCAGCATGTGATGCTTTTTGATAGCATTTTACCCTCAGTAGAACTTTCAAAATTGGAGTCAATTCTCCCAAATCTGGCCACTGCTTTATTAACTAAGCTGATGGAATATTAGAAATCCTTTGTTTTCAGGTCAGCAGCATCTTCACCAGGGTGGATTTTATGTCCAGAAAACACATTCTTTGCTCATCCATAAGAAGCCACTCCTCATCCGTTCAAGTTTTACCCTGAGATTGCAGCAATCCAGTCACATTTCAGGCTCTGCTTCTAATTCCAGTTCTCTTGCTTTTTCCACCTCATCTACAGTTACTTCCTCCACTGAAATAAACCTGTCAGAGTCACCCATTAGAGTTGGAATCAACGTCTTCCCAAGTCCTGTCAGTGTTTCTATTTTTCCTTCTCTCATGAATCATGAATGTTCTTAAATGTTCTAAAATGGTGAATCTTTTCCAGAAGGTTTTTAATTGACCGCCCAGATCCATCAGAGGAATTATCGTCTATGGCATCTTCAACCTTACAAAACGTATTTTTTAAATAATAAGACTTGGAGGCTAAAGTGACTCCTTGATCCGTGGGGTGCAGAATGTACGTTGTGCTGGTAGGTATGAAAACAGCATTAATCTTGTACCTCTCCATCAGAGCTCTTGGACCACCGGGTGCACTGTCAATGAGCAGTAATATTCTGAAAGAAGTTTTTTCTTAAGCAGTAGAAATCAACAATGGGCTTAAAATATTCGGTAAACCATGCTGTAAACAGACGTGCTGCCATCCAGGCTTTGTTGATGAATTTCTAGAGCACAGAGAGAGTAAACTGAGCATCATTTTTAAGGGTCCTAGGAATTTTGGAATGATCAATGAGCTTTGTCATCAACTTAAAGTCACCAGCTGCATTCGCCCCTAATAAAAGAATCAGCCTGTTCTTTGAAGCCAGCCATTGTCTTCTTCTCTCTAGCTAGAGAGTCCTAGATGGCTTCTTCTTCTAGTAGAAGGCTTTTTCATCTTCATTGAAAATCTGTTGTTTAGTGTAGAGACGTTCATCAATGATCATAGCTAGATCTTCTGGAGAACACGCTGCAGCTTCTGCATAAGCGGTTTCACCTTGCCCTTTTATTTTATGGAGAGGGCTTCATTTCCTAAACCTCACAAATCAACCTCTGCTAGCTTCAGACTTTTCTTCTGCATCCTTCTCACCTCTCTCAGCCTTCATAGAATTGAAGAGTTAGGGCCTTGCTCTGGGTTAGGCTTTGGCTTAAGGAAATGTTTGGCTGGTTTGATCTTCTGTTCCAGCCACTAGAACTTTCTGTGTATCCGCAGTAAGGCTGTTTCTCTTCATGTGTCACTGGAGTAGCCCTTTTAATACCTTTCAAGAGCTTAGTTTGAAATTTGCAGATTGGCTAATTGTTTGAAGCAAGAGGGCTAGTTTCCAGCCTGCCTCAGCTGCTGACAAGCCTTTCGCACCAGGCTTAATCATTTCTAGCTTTTGTCTTAAAGTGACAGATGCACAACTCTCTCTTTCACATGAACACTTTGAGGCCACTGTGGGATCACGAACTGAAGTAATTTCAATCCTATTGTGTCTCAGGGAATAGGGGGCCCTGCGTGAGTGGAGGAAGAGAGACGATGGAATAGCCAGCCAGAGGAGCTGTGAGAACATACATTTATTGTAAGACCTCAAACTATGAGAATCCTAGAAGAAAACCTCAGAAACATGATTCTAGACACAGGCCTTGGGAAAGAATTTCTGACTAAGTCCTCAAAAGCAATTGCAATAAAAACAAAAATTGACAAGTGGGACTTAATT